CCCAGCAGCCGGCCGGCCCCCGATACCCAGGGCAAGGAGCTGCCCCCGTGGCAGCCCTGCTGCTAGCCCTGCTTGTTAGACACCAGCTTAAAAACCAAAGCAGGAGGTGTTGCATCCTCCTCAAAAACCCACCCTCCTACCCCTCCTCGAGCTGCCCGCAGCACAACCACCCAGCCACACCGCTACTCGCGGCCTTGGCAGGATGGTGTATTTGTGTCACGAGATTAGATCGGTCACATGGAGTAGTTCTGTCTGTCTGGAAACAGTCTGAGCCAAGCGTATCCTATTAAATTAGGGCTGGATTTTTTTCAAGAGAGCTCCGTTCCCGCTTAGGCTCTCCAACAAACAGGCAGATTTGCAAAAGGAATCGAATGCGTTGGGTCACGCTGGCTGCTGAGCTTAAGTCCTTTGAATATCTAGCCAAAACTGTTGCCATGCGTGTTGCTACAGGTATATGCCCTTCCGAAACGTGGCCCCGCCGTGGGCTGCACGTCCCCGGGAAACCTGGCTCATCTTTGCTCTCCCACGTCTTGCGCTGCAGTAGGCGCTGAAGCGGCGATAGCTGCAGTGTCGTACGCGTGGGGGAGCGGCTCGGTGACAAAGCAGGGCTCCCGCGGCTCTGCCCTTTGATCGGCTCAGCAGCGTGGGTCAAGGGAGCTGAGCGGGAAGGTTTCCTTGCCTTTTGTTCCGCAGAATTAGCAGAGTTAATCAGAGTGACAGCCGCTTCTGCCTCGGCGCGGAGGAAAGGTCAGCGGCTCGGGCTGGAGGCAGGCTCGTTTTCTGACCAGTCGGAAAACGCGCGCCCATGAACGCCCCATCGTGTACGCGCTGCCGGCACAGAGGCTCTCCCAACAAGCGTCAGCAGGGAAAACGTCCCCACGGAGGCGAGGAGGCTGCAGAGGGGTGGCGAAGGGCTCCTCTTCAGATGGCTCTTGGCACCGTTGCACCCGAGTCGGACCCTTCTTCACGCAGCGCGGGGAGGACGCGCTGCATCACGCAGCTGAGCTCCCGCGCGGCTCTCGGCCGCTGCGCTGCGGGGGCTGCGCGTGGCCCAGGACGCCCTGGCGGCTGCTGCTTTGATGTCCGCTGGTCACCGTAATGCACCTCTGCGAACCTCCAAAAGCCCCCAGATGAGCTCCTCTCGAGCTGGGGTTGCTGGAGATGCAGCAGCCGCCACGGCCTTGCTTTCTCTGTGCCTCTAGACCCGAGCTGTGGTGGCTCTTAGCAGAGAGGCGTTAATGCAGCCTCCGTGTCCCTAATGTGGTGCTTTGCTTACCTTTCTTTGATCCTAATTAAAAGCGTTTGATTGTTCCTGATGCTTTTGCTGCAGACATCCTCTCGCGTGTCTAATTAGTGGAGTCTTTCTGTCCAAGATATTAGCGCCCTCAACAGCTAGCCCTAATTTAAGCTGTTTATGTTTGTCTGCAGTGTTAATGCCCTCATTCACCCTTGGTCCTAATTAAATGCATCTGGATATCTGCGGAGGGAGCTCTCATGATCTCTCCTTGGCTCTAATTAAAATAGCCTGGATGTCCATGACGTTGGTTCCCGTTAAGCCCGTCTCCAGAAGGTGATGTCCGCGGTGGAGCTGGCTGAAGAATGTGTAGGAGTCGTTATTGCTGAGGAACACCTCCGCGTCGAGACCCTCCTGGCACGCCTCGTCCACCAGCTCTGGGCTGGAGAAGGCTCCCGCTGCTGCCGTTGGCCCGTCCTGCCCGTCCGTCCCCCCGCTGAGGAAGATGATCTCGCAGCTGCCCAGGGGGCTGCCGGCCTCCGTGGCCCGCGCTCTGTGCAGGTCCAGCCCCACTCGCAGAGCCAGCTCCTGGTTCCTGCCTCCCTTCCCGCTTCCTTGAAGCTGGACTGTGGTTTCTCCGCCGGCCAGGATGCAAACTGGTCCATCGGGCCCTAATTCTCGCAGGGCCTGCAGAGTCTCAGCAGGGTTCAAACCCGGGATCTCCAGCTCCGCTGCCAGCTGCAGGAGCTTCGCCCTCACCTCGTCGCTCAGGGGCCCGTCTCTGAGGCCGGCGAAGGCCAGGCAGACCAGCTGGATGAGCTGACAGTAGAGTGCGGACACGCGGCTGACTTCCCCGCAGACTGCCGCGCTCAGGACCAGAGTCGCGTAGCCCAGGTCCTCTGCCTGGCGTTTGGCCTCGTCCAAAGCGAGAGCGTTTGACCCGATGATGACGTTGAAGACGTGGGAATAGTCTTCTGGTGCAGCGGGGCTTGCAGGAGAGCTGGACAGTACTGTTTCCACTGATTTGGGCAGGCTGGTCAGCAGCTTGTATTTGTCCAGTATCTGAAGGCAATCTTGGACGCTGTGGGAGCTGGCTGCAGTGGGACCGCTTGCTATGACGTCCAGGGGGTCACCAATCACATCGGAAAGGATGAGACTCACCACCTACCAAGAGAAATGTCCACGGACTAATGCAGGAGGTAGAGACAGGCGCCCAAGCAAGAGCACGGGCGTAAGCGCTGCTCTGAGTTACACCTGCGCCATCCCCCTAGCAAAGCAGGTGTCAACAGGGGCAGAACTTGGCCCGCTTCTGTTTTAAGGTCCTGCACGACTTGAACCTGCAGAATTACAATGTCATTGATGCTGGACCATCAGATTGGAGAACGGCACTGGTGCCACAGCGCTTGTCAGGCTCATGACCTGCGTGCCAGCGACGGCATACGCTCACGCCAGGTGAGACGAGGGGTCGGAGCCGGCCACGCAAGCGCTGCAGGAGTCAGCGTAGCAATGCACCAGCTGCTCCTAGCTCGGGGCTGGGGGCTGCTGAGGGCCGTGCGGTGTGACGGCTGATGCTTGCTGCGTCTGAATTCCCTCTCCTCCACCTCTCTCCCCCTGCGATTTTGGGTCCTCCAGGCAGTGCTGCGGGAGCGTAGGTGCCTGCTCACGTTGGGCAGGAGCTCCGGTAGTTAGCACTGACCGTTCTGGTGCACTCTTTTGTGTTACATCTGGCTCAAATTCTGTGAGCCCAGGTGAAATCTGAACCACTTCTACAAAATGACGGGAGAATGACGAGAAACCCAAACCCCTCTCCCCAGAAGAGCCCCTGTGGGCACTGCTAACCACGCTCCACCCCAATGCTCAGCACAGCACGGCTCTTGTGAGCCTGGGTGGTGGCACCAACTGGCCAGTTTTGTCTTCTTGGGTCAGCCGTGCTGAGGCTTTTTGCAAGTGCGGGTGAACCCTCTTTCTCAGTTTTGTGTGACTTTCCTGGCTTTGAAAAAGATGCTCCAAACCTTTGCCGTTTCCCTCTGGGGACCCGTGGCTTGAGAAACAGATTCCCAAAACTATATGCAAAGATTATTCACGCAGTGATGAGAAAAACCCCCGTGAGCACAGCTGGGTCAGCCAATGAAAGCGCTATTTGGAGAACAGCTCAGTGAGCGCTGGGCGAGCGCGGGCTTCTCCCGGCTTACCTGGGCGGGATACGCGAGCCGGGCCAGCCCTCCGCCCTTCAGCAGGGACAGGGCCTTGCGGACCGTGTTCAGCTCCTGTATGGCAGCTCCCCTGGAAGCCAGCGTCTTTGTGAGCTTCTCCTTCTCCTCGAGGAGGACTGGAGGCGTGGGAGCAGGCAGCAGGGCTGAGCCCCCACCTAGGAGGCAGAGGGGACCTGTCTTAACATCTCTGCAACATCTCTACTTCTTCACCAGCAGGCCTGAACGACCACTGGCCCACGCTGCCTGCACGCCAGCGATGCCGGCAGCCGTGGGGCCGGCCGAGAGCAAGGCAGAAGACCCAGCGGTTGTTATGGCCGGGGCGGGGGGGGGGGGGGGGCGG